GTGTGTGTCTGTGTGTTCGCACTTTTTGTCACCCATTTTCAAATCGAGAACCAGAAAAGCTAGAAGCTAGAAGGCTGAAACTTTGGGGATATGTGCCCGTGCCATGCGCGACCCTCCCTTTTTAATTTCATCCTCCGCAGGGCCTGGGTGCCGCTCATGGATTTTTTAAAAAAATATGCAAATTTTTTGGCGGGTAGGCGATCTCGGGAACTACGTTAGCTAAGGGGCTGAAACTTTGTAGAGATGTTTCCTGCGCATTACTAGCTAAAGATATCAAATTCAGCCCCCAGGTATGCGTGGTACTCATGTAAGGGCGCATGAAAGTTTTAGGGGGAAAATTGCTGGCTGGGGTGCCAGGAAAGCTAGGAAGCTGAAATTTTGGGGGAATGTTCCTGATCTAAGTACAACCAAAATATTTCAAACTCAGCCCTAAGCTATGCGTGGTACTCACGTAAAGGCGTATGAAAGTTTCTGCAGGAAAATTACTAACTCGAAAACCAGATGAGCTGGAAAGCTGAAATTTTTGGGGGGAAGTTCCCCATCCACCTGCAATTTTTAAATTTCAAATTCAGCTTTCCAGCCACAAACATCTTTGAAGTGCCCTGAGTTGTGGCGCAAGCGCAAATCGGTACTCATTTTAGGTATACTATTTCCTACATGGGAAACAAATTTCCTGACAAAATTTCAGCTACTGTTTTCCGGTAAGTTTTTGAGTTAGTACAGTACCAAGTTGCAAACTTTGACTTGACCATACGTACTGCACAAGTGAGCGCGACAGCTGAATTTGAAATCTTTAGCTCGCACATGCATAGAAAATATCCTTGCGAAGTTTCATCTTTCTGTCTTGCCTGGTTCGTGAAGCCGCTTCTCGCCAAGGGAATTTGCATATTTTTTGGGGGTCCGTAAGCGAGTTCTAGACGCGTGTGAGGAGGGACCTTAAAACCGGAGGATGACACATGGCATAGAAACATATACCCGAAATTTCAGCCTCCCAGCTTTCCTGGTTGCTGAGATGAAAATGGGTGACAAAATGCACTCGCT